ATATATTTGTGTATGTCTGATGTGTGTCTGTATGTGTGTGCATGTGCGCGTGTGTTTGTGTGTATATCTTCCTTTTAATTTAAATTGAATAATGATTTAATAAGAACTTTTAATATCATATTCATAAGGAAAACAGCATAATATTTTTAATTAACTTTACTTTCAAATTATAAAATACTAGATGCATTTATGCAATGACAGAGTATATGGTTCTTATATTCATCACAGATTTTTTCCACCTTCAGTTATCAAATAAACTCTGTTACTTCAATTTCTTAATGAATATTTAATATCGAAGAAGTTAAATGATTCTGAAAACAAAAAGGATATTAATATTAATAATGATAATTATTATAAAAATATTAATAATAAATCCTTGAAATATTTATTTTTACATGAATAAATATAAATAAAAATTTCTATATAACATGCAAAATTCCATTTTATATTTTATTCATAAATAATTTTTAATTTTTCTTTAATATTTTTTGTAATAATTTTTATTTTTTATAAAATAAGAAAATATTTAATTTTTAGAAAAATTGTTCTAATTATAAATTATGATTATAAATTTTATATATTACATATAAAATAATACATATTATATATTTTTATATAATAAAATAATTAGCTATTTTAAAAAACTATTTATTTTATTTATAAATTAAATTTTTCATTATTGATGAATTAATAATAACATATATTTTCATTATTGATGAATAAATAATAATATATATTTAATAATATTTAAAAATAATTTAAAACTATTTCTCATATATAAAAAAGGTTATTGATCAAAATTTTTACACTATTTAAATTTTTTATACAATATATCTTTAATATTAATCAAAAAATATATTTATTTTATTATTTATTATATATTATTATTTTAAATAATGCTAATAATTTTTTGAGTATTTATATCAAATTTAAATTAACATTTTTATTAGACTAAATTTTTATTAAAAGATATATATTGTATCTTATATATATACCATATGTTAAATAAATGAATGTTAAATGCATGAATAATTTACAAATTATTTGTATAATGAATATGTAGAAAAAAATCGAGGAAGATCAATTCTTTATTTACAAAAAAAAAAAAAAAAAAAAAA